ATGTACACCACATTTCATAATGCTAATGGTATGTGGTTCTTCAGAGAGACTATAAACTGTATGATCTGGACAATAATGACAAGGCTTTGGGGTATTTACTGGGTCTATTGTGCTAATGCTACTAGTAACATTTACTGGATGAGTTTACTCCCTTTTAAAGTGAGTAAATGGAGCAAGGTACTCGATCAGACGTAAATCGGACACATTCAGATTTATAGCCTTTATATAAAAAGACAGGCCACAGAGACAGCAGCCCATTGCTTTGTGAAGTCTCTTTCTGATTTTTTTTCCCCCCCCAACTCTAATAGGACCCATTATTTATAAGATGAGCATTGTGTACATAATATGAGACCTAAAACTAGCAATTGAAAGGTTTTTCTTGGGAACCCGAGGCACCGATCCCTGGTGGCCATTACGAAGAATGCTGCTTTAAAGTACCTCAGCATTGGTTTACTTTTCAGATCCTAAAGCTATGTCCATATATTATAAGGTTTATAATTCAGATGACATCTGATTAATGGAAAGGAAGTCTGAAATGGGTTTGGATGTGACTTAAGAGTGGTGATCCAATTACAGTGTATCAGAAACATTGATTCACAGTTTTTCCCAAAGGCATTGCCAGAGTATGCTGCTGATTTTTTTTTCCTTCTCATTGGTGTCACTGAACTGATTTATTTATTTAATACTTGCTTGCATGGCAGCTTGGATAGCAGTCTCCTGGGGCTTCTGCTTTCAAAATGTGTGTGTGTGTCTGTGTGTGTGGACCCGTACATGCACCGTGGATGGGTTAGACACTTTTAATTATTACAAAGTGCTCTGGTTCTCTTTCCCTTCGTCTTCCCGTCTCCCCGCCCCCATCAGCATATCTCCCCTCTGTGGTTGGCTCTTCATGCTCTAACGATTTTCATGCATTATTTAAGAGCTCACAATGACGAGTCATCTGCTGCCATTCCGACTCACCTTCTCTTCTCTCAGTAGGATGCTTCATATCTTGAATGGTGATAGCTGACCTCAGTAAGACCTCTTGTACTGAACTTTTATTTGTTTGTTTTGGTTTATGTGACAGTAGACAGACACTGTGGGATGTATGCACCCAGGGAAATGAAGGGTCAGCAGAAAATTAGCCACTTAATATGAAGCCGCTGTGTTTTAAAAAACACAAAACAAAACAAAAACAAAAATGCACGCACCAAGGTAAAAGTTTAGGTAAGAAAGCAATATTTTCTCAGCTGAAATTGAAAAGAGCCATGCTGTGACTAATCGCTGGACTTGGCAAGGTGATGGTGCTACGTTGTTACCAGCAACCTAATTCTGAAAAGTTGGGCAGCTGCGTAAAAATGAAAATAAAAACAGAATGCAGTGATTTGGAAATCTCACATACCCATACCCATGAACATAGAAAACATGTTTTGAACTGACAATATATACCATTTTAAGAAAACATTAGGTCATTTATGACAGCAACACATCATAAAAACATCGAGACTTGGCCATGTTTACCACTGTACAGCAACCCCTCTTCTTTTAACAGACTGTAAACATCTGGGAACTGGAAAAATTAAGATATAAGATTTTAGCTGCTCAACAGTCCCGTGTCATTTTTGGTTTTTGCTTTTTTCATGATGTGCCAAAAACTGTCTATTGAATGGCCCAAACAGCACTCAGGCCTGTTCAGCACCAGGACTCTTCTATTATGCTACCATGATGTTGGATTAGATGCAGTATGTGGTCTTGCTTTGGGGCTTTTAGCCTTTCTCTTGGTGGGACAGTGCAGAAAAGACCAGAGGAAGTTTTATGCACCATCTTTGAATTAGCCTTATGACATATGAGTCACAATTTCAACACTGAGCTAAAAAGGCTCCCAGAATCATGCTAGGGTTTGTTTGTTTTGATGCAGTGCCACCTCAGGGCCCAAAGATCAGTATTACTTTTTGGCCTTGTCCCTTGCGCACACAGATTTCTCCAGATTATCAGACTCATTTAATCACATTATTTGTGGAACTTTACATCGTGAGGCCAACTTTGCATCGTGGAACATTATTCTGAAATTGTTGCACAATTTGTAGTCACAGTTTTTGCAGATTTGTGAACCTATGCCCATCTTTACTCCTGAGAAACTCGGCCTCTGGTTACCATAAGAGCATCTTACAATCATGCTACTGACCTGTTGCCAGTTAACCTAGTTAGTCCCAAAATGTTTCTCCAGCTGTTTTTTAGTACCCCTTACTGTTTGTTTGTTTTTTTTCAAAGTTTGTGGAGATGTTTTGCTGCCATGAAATTCAAAAGGCATTAATATTTTAGTTCTAATATTTGATATGTTTTCTGTTCTGTTGTGAATACTTTTACACAACTTTTTCAGAATTGGGGTTGTATATCTGGAAGGTTTAAAAAAGTGGTCAAAAGTGAGCATTATGACCAGATGAAAAGCGCGCACACACATTGTTGCTAATGTGAAATATCTGCTTACAGAATCCAATGTTTATCCAGATTATTTCTTCTTTGTTGCTCTCTTTGTCCTTCCCTGGCCCTTCCTCTTATAACAAAGAAACTATTCTGAGTGCCAGTCATGTCTGAAGAATAGAACTGTGCGCCTGCTCCATAGCGTACCCTCCAGCTGTCATCTCTTTTCAGATCAGATCAGGAGGAACCAAAAATGAAAGGTGCATTCCACCTTAAATCTAGCTCAGACTGCAGCCCCTGCACCTGCTTGAGAGAGGCTTTATGGCAAACTGTGGGCACAATGGCACAGTGTTGTTTTGTGGTGGTAGTATGAACTCTGGCTCATATTGCCCCTAGTTCTGCAGTCGTCCACTAATGGGAAAGGTGGCTCCTACATTACTATATTAAAGTGTCTTAAATCGCAGTTCTTTTCACTTATTTTTGGAATATTTTTATATAAGATCAGAAGGTCTGCGCTTACTGTGCATGAAAAATGCTACTAGCTCTGGATTTTGAACGGGATTAGTCCCCCAATGTGACGCATACCTAGCCTGCTGAATGGATGGACACTTAATAAATGGTGAAAGCAGTAAAAAATTAAAGAATTCAAGGCAGCACTTACGTGGATACCAGTGTGAGTTTAAATAACCAGGGACAGATGGATTTCACTTCTTATTCTTCAGATGCAACATGAGAATTTAATTGTTACTGACAGGAGAAAGACAATAATGTAAAGTGATGCCACAGAGGAGGTCTAGATAAAATTATAATGCTGCATGCTTTATTGCTTCAGCCCTCCAGATGCAGAATCATGCATTGTTTTTGTAAGGTATATGTACGTGATTAAAATCTTTGGAACGACATACAAGTATGCTATGGATTTCTAAACACAGCTGAAGAATAGTCTTGTGTAAATAGCTGTTTGCTGCAATAATTGTAATACATTATCTGGCATCAAGTGTACTTTATTCCTTTCTGAGCTGTCTCCTGTGCTGGTTGTGGCTGACAGCAGTTTCGTGACTGGTCATTAAGAGGGTCACTAGAGAACACCATTACCAAAGATGAGTCCCATCAGCAAGCACTGGTTGACTAATTATCCTCTTTGTGTTGTCTATTTCTGGGAGACCAAATATAGCTTTCGGTTGGTGCAATAGTTGTCATTGCTCTTCTGTTCTCATTATGGACAGGTACTTAACATAATGTACATATACTGTGTGCATAACCACATCTCACGTTTAGAGTGGAAAGATGAAACCTGGCTAAAAGCACTGGAGGGGAGAGAGGAATGTGAGATTTTAAATTTGACAGACAGCATGCAGGCGTATCCTGATTTCCTTTCAGTGTGTGCCTATTCATATCTTTGTGGGGAGCAGGAGTATTCAGGCGAAAAGCTTTACTCAGTATGTGCAGTACAGTGTGATCTCTGCCTAATAATTTTAAGGAGCTGTGATCCTTAAGTCCTTTGAGAACCAAGCTTACATATGTTATTGATTCTGCATAAAATGCCAATTTGGCCGATTTAGATCATTCAATGACCCTCTACAGAATTATAAAGCCTAGTAGTTTATGAATATTAGAGAGTCCACAGTGAACTAACAGTCCAAATCACAGCTCAGCTCATGTAGACATGTGGTCTTATATTCATGACTTTAGAGTAGATTTCATGGACTTGAACTGGAGCCCTTAACCATAATTAATATGTGCCTAACCTTATTGTTACAATAGCCCTGATATATGTTTTTACTTTATGAGTTTACTTTACATGTCTTAAGCAAGACATGTACCCATAATGTTGAGTGTGGCTGTGTAAGCAGGTCTAGCTTCCTGCAACGTGAGTAATATTTCTGAGCAGATTTTTATTTATTTATTTATTTATTTTAAACTTGGGAACAACTTGTTTCTTTGGGGTTAGAGTCTGTGTGTCTCAGCCACTTATGGTAATGTCTAAAAAACTGACTTGTGATGGAGCCGTATGTGTGTTTTGTTTTGTTTTTCTTTCACAGTCTTTCTGCATCTGTCCTTCACTCTGACTTTGTTGCTGTGGTTTGTGTCTGCTCTGTAAAGCAGCAAATGAAGGCAAATGCCTTGAAGTTTTACTGCATTTAGCATCCTTGTTGGCTTGCTGTGACACTTTAACTGCACTTTCAAAGATCAGGCTTTGGTTTGCTCTTTCCTCTCAAAACCCCAAGCACCATCTGTTGTCATTAGTGTCTAACATCCATGATATAGCAGGACTGCTGTCTCTGTCTGGTTCTTCTCTGTGATCTATGTCACCCGCTGCTTATTACCCTTTGAGGAAGGCCAAATGTCCAGATTTAAATGCAGTGAACTTGTAATACATGCTATGACTCTATGTGGGCAAGGAGAGATGGTTTGTATAAAATTTACAGTATGAGAAATGGATTTTTCTAAGCATTAGTCGTTGTGGAGGTGTGTTGTTTTGAGTTATCTGTCCAAAATGCAAGATTTCTGTTAAAACAAAAAATGCTAGCCTTGTGAATATTTTGTTTAAATTAATATTGTTCCATCTTGTCTCTTTTCCTTTCCCCTTTTCCTCACAGATTATGTAAAGCGGAAGGTTCGGAGGAGGCCATCGTGGGGGCGGGGCATCATACGGAAAAAGAAGAACTACAAGAAAGGGACAGAGGAGGAAGAGGAGGAGCCTGAAGCAGAGGTGGAAGCGGCAGGGCCCAGCGACTCCTGTTTAACACAGGATGAGGAATCATCTTGCGATATTACAGGTCCCCAACCCAATGGCCATCATCCACATGCCCCCTCCACAGAAGAAGAAAGCTCCAACGAACCCCCTGTTGCAGCTCCCGATAAACCTCCAGATGCTAGCGAAGCCAGAGAGGCGCCAATGCCTAAGGTTGAGGAGCCGGCAGCTAAAGAAGCAGAGCCTGAGATCACAGGGAAACACACCGAACCACATTGCCTTGGTGGTAGTTCTCAGCCCAACACAGATGGGGATAGCGAGGCCAGTCGGGCTGACTTCCAGCCTTTGATTGAAATGTCGGTGTCTTCAGATGCTGAGGACCAGCCTAAGCACACAGAGGTTCTCCTGGTTTCACAAGTGGACTGTGTGAATGGAAATGAGTCAATGGACAGCCTTGACTTGCAGAGCCTCAAGGGGAGCAGTGAGGCAGAGACAAGGACTCCTCAGAGCACGGCTGAGGGCTCTAATAGAGCTGAACAGGATGAGCACAAAGACAAAAATGAGAGCAAACCAACTCAGGAGCAGCATCCTCAGGATGGAGTGGCAGTAACGGAAACTGTTGAGGAAGATCATAACAAAGAAGGTATAATGCCAGTCTTAGTTATGTTCCAGCATTAATATTGGTTAACACAAATGTAGAGCTTTTGCTTGCAGTACACGCTTTTCACTATTAATGCTTTCTCACACTTTCAAAATCCAAATATATGTGATGAGTTAAAAAGAGAGAGATGCAATGTCAGGGCTACTTGTTCTGATCTCTTAATTTGACTTGCTAATTTTTAAATTCTAAATATGTTTTTATGCAAAGTTAACAAACATCTGTGAGTTTTTAGACATTCAGCCAGTGGGTTGCCTAGCACTTATCTATGATAAATTACTGTTATTATCATCCAGTTTTCTGATTTATGCTTGGTTTAAAATAGGATGTAAGACTGAGTGGTGAAACTTAAGTAGCATTAGCATTTATAAATACTATTCTTGGCTTGGATGCATTTCATAGCAAAATGCCATGGGCTTGAAAGTTATATGGATATGTTACACCTCCTGATATGCATCTTTGGATGGTTTTCAATTTTTGGATTTTCAGCAGTGGCTGCCTTTTCCTTTGCTCCAATATATTTAGTTTCTTTGCCATGAAGCCTTATGCCCCTTCTACTGGGATGTTGTGTTCAAGTCAGAGACGAGCAATAAGTTTTTGTTTGATTATAGGCCTGTGGTTTGGCTTATGATGAGGCCAGCTGGAAGGCTGAGGTAATGGTGCTGATAAAATATGAAGAAGCCATCAGAGGATGACATGATCGGACAACAGAACACAAACTGTGGCTCCTGAACCAATAGAAAAACGAAGCTACTCCACCCCCATCTCATTAAACACTGAGGCCTGCCTTTTGTTTTCATCAAAGCGTGTCTTGAACCTTTGTAATAGATGGAAAGGAAAGAAGCCAGATGTGAGATATTGTACACTTTAAAGCTGATCGTAGCTGCAGATAATTTGTTTTTCTGTTGTATAATTGCATTGGACCTGTAGCCATGACATTTTAAATGTATTTTTCTTTGAATAGCATTTGAATGAGAAGAACAAAACTGCATCAATTTAGTTAGTTTGCTTAGGTTATTCAGTTACTCTTGATTGCAGTTAAATATTTAATATTTCTTTGGTAATCTATTCATTTGTCTTTTCATTGATGTCTTTGAAGTGGGGACATTCAACAGTAGCTCATCAGAGCAGTTGAAGGAGTCCGCTGAAAGGACCGAGGAAGAGCCACAAGCAGTACCTCCCCATCCTCCAGTGGTAATTGACCACCAGCGACTTTTGGTAAGAATTTTATTTTTTTAAGAAAATAAATAAAGCATTATGACCATAACAGGTGTAGCAGCACACCACATGCACTTAAGCTTCCTTACATTCTTGAAAATACTGTAATTTTATTGGGGTGTTTTCAAGGTTTAAAAGGTGCATAGATTTTCGCTAAAGTGCTCGAAATTGCTTAAAACTGCACTGCTTTTGTGATGAAATGCTTTCTGACTGAATGGTTTGCCTCTTAGATAAAGAAAGAAAATAAGTTGGGGAGAACCTCTTCTTTTCCATAAAATAAATACGACTCCACTCAAGTATCACCTGCTGCTTGGAGCCTCTGTGTTTGGCTATAGTGTGATCTGCTGGTGTTTTTGAAATATACGCCTTGTGATGGAGCAGTGGGTGGGACATGACAACATGCTGTGAGGTGGCAGGTTTAATGAGCGTTAGTTTGATAATGAAAAAGACAAGGTCATGGTTGAAACGAGCGAAATCTGTAAGAGTGGCCTCCTGTAAATTCTACAGGACGTGGTGGGGGAGCTTTTGTCACTGTAGCTAGGCTAGCTGTCACCATGGGTATGTTGTCCAAGTATTATGGGGAAATACAGTTTTACTGATGTCGGTTTAATTGAGCATCAGTGTAATCATCTTTGACATAGGTCGATAATTAGATGTGGTCTAATGTTAATTGGCCACGTGCTCATGTTACTAATGTGGGGCTGTTAATGCTGGTTTAAGAATGCTAGTCGTGTGAACGCCTAATAAAATACATCTGTGTGTGCGTTTGTACTGGAAAAATGAATAAAGGTTATGTTTTGATCTTTAAGTTGCCCGACATAGTTTGATACATTATTCTTGATGGTGTTTTACTTAACATTGTCATTCTTTTTGGAAAAAATATTGTTAAAATATATTTTTAAATAGATCTGTGTGATCAAGTATGATCAGTATCACGTATTTATGAGCATCTTATTTATGAAGTGCTAGAGAAGCTCGAAAATACTTTTTTCCAAGCACTTATTAAGCATCCTATCGTTTAAACACTAAAACGGTAACAGAAAATAGTGACCCTTAAATGTTGCTGAAATGGCAGCTTAATAATTCAAAGCTTGTTTGATTCAGACTGAGACATTTTCTTCAACTGTCTGTTGTGACTTTATTTTATTACTGCAGCAGTTGTATTCAGTATTTCTAATTAAAATACAACAAAAAAAA